CGGGCGCTGCCCCGCGGGGTGGTTGGGCCTGCCGGGGTTGGGTTTCCCACTGCCTCTGTTTTTACAGTGCCTAGGAAACAGGCCTGGGGACGGGATCGTAATTTTCGCGGGGTCTTCCCACTTCCTGCGCTCCCCTGATCTTCTGTATTGTTTTCCTCGGTACCGGGGTTTTTTTTTTTAGCCTGGAGGAAAGGCGGCTCGGGAGTGACCTTATCACTCTCTGCAACTCCCTGAAAGGAGGGTGTAGCCTGCTGGGGGTCGGGCTCCTCTCCCAGGTAACGAACGGCAGGACAAGAGCACAGAGTGTTTATCTGCGCCAAGGGAGGTTTAGGTTGGACAATAGGAGGAATTTCTTCACTGGTTAGACATTGGAACGGGCTGCTCAGGGAGGTGGCGGAGTCACCGTCCCTGTAGGTGTTTGAGAACTGGACGTGGCCCTGAGTGCTCTGGTGTGGGTGACAGGGTGGTGTTTGGTCACTGGGTTGGACTCGATCATCTCAGAGGTCCTTTCCAGCCTAACTGACTGTTATTCCTGTCGTGTCCTTGGTCTCCTTTCACCCTTAGAGGGCTGGATAAGGAGCCATGTGCTTCTCAAATGCAGTAATCCCACTGCACAGCCTCACTCGGCGATGCCCTTAGGAGCAGCAGTTACAGAGGTTCCCTTCCTCTGTGGTGGGTGTCACATGGTGCTCAGAAAAACAAAGGTTTTTGTGCAGATAGAGAATCTTGTCTGTCACAACCTGCTGCCCCTAATGAGTTCTCTTCTTTTCTAGGTATGGCCTCACAGCTGCAGGTGTTCTCCCCTCCGTCAGTATCCTCGAGTGCCTTCTGCAGTGCCAAGAAACTGAAAGTGGAGCCGTCTGTCTGGGATGTTTCAGGACAGAGCAGTAGTGACAAGTATTATACCCACAGCAAAAACCTCCCAGCAGCTCAAGGGCAAGCCAGCTCCTCTCATCAGGTAGCCAATTTCAGCATCCCTGCCTACGACCAGAACCTCCTTCTCCCTGCTCCCTCCGTCGAGCACATCGTGGTCACCGCGGCCGACAGCACCGGCAGCAGCGCCACAGCATCCTTCCAGAGCAGCCAGACCCTCACGCACAGGAGCAACGTTTCTTTGCTGGAACCATACCAAAAATGTGGATTAAAAAGGAAAAGTGAAGAGGTTGACAGCAACGGTAGTGTGCAGATCATTGAGGAACATCCACCTCTCATGCTGCAAAACAGACCTGCGGTGGGTGCTGCGGCCACGACCACTACGGTCACCACAAAAAGCAGCAGCTCCAGTGGGGAGGGGGATTATCAACTGGTCCAGCATGAGATCCTGTGCTCTATGACCAACAGCTATGAGGTCTTGGAATTCCTGGGACGAGGGACGTTTGGGCAGGTGGCGAAATGTTGGAAACGTAGCACGAAGGAGATTGTAGCCATCAAAATCCTGAAGAACCACCCTTCCTATGCCCGGCAGGGCCAGATTGAGGTGAGCATCCTGTCTCGCCTGAGCAGTGAGAATGCTGATGAGTACAACTTCGTCCGCTCCTACGAGTGCTTTCAACACAAGAATCATACATGCCTTGTCTTTGAGATGCTGGAACAGAACTTATATGATTTCTTAAAGCAAAACAAGTTCAGTCCGTTGCCCTTGAAGTACATCCGGCCCATCCTGCAGCAAGTGGCTACTGCCTTGATGAAGCTGAAGAGCTTGGGTCTGATCCATGCTGATTTGAAGCCAGAGAACATCATGTTGGTGGATCCTGCACGCCAGCCCTACAGAGTGAAGGTGATAGACTTTGGGTCAGCCAGCCATGTGTCCAAGGCCGTGTGCTCCACGTACCTGCAGTCACGGTATTACAGGTAAGCACTGCTCCTGCTCACTGAACCAGGTCAGGCTGATCCTGCTGGGGCTTCGTTCTACAGACACTGAGCTCTTCTGTCTAACCCCAGCTGAGGGGCAGCAGGAAATCGTCAGCTCTGCACGTTTCCTGGAGATTTCTTCTGAAAGTTGGATGTCTGCCTTGCAAGAATGGCCTAATCTGCAGCCCAGTACCTTCCTTTCCCCCCCAGATCAGTGCACTAAGTTGATTTTACCCTGTCCACTGGCTTGTGACACTGTATAAAATAGCAAACTAGAGAAGCAGTATAGGAGTGTTAGGTAGTGCATTTGGGGTTGTCTGCCATGATCTGAAACTGGTCCATTAACCTTGGAGATTTAGAAGGGAGAGAAGTCAAAGGGATGTCAATATCTGTTTGCTTTTGTTTCTTCTGATTCTTCATCTTTGTCTGAACCTCCTTGACGAGCACATGACTTCCTGTGTCAACCCTGGCTAAGTCATGCTTTCATGAGATCTGCAGCTCCCTTAGAGCACTTAGGAAAAATATCTCTGCTTCCCTTAGCAATATGTAGAGATGTCTTCTACCCTACTCTTGCCCAAGAATTAAAAATAAATTATGGGCAGAGATGTTAAAACTTAGAGACTGTGCACAAAGCAAGCTGTGCTTTTTCTTTCAATTATTTCTCCAGCTTGGCTCTGTTAAGTGTGTATTTGAATTTAAGTAGCAGCAGACTTCAATAAATGGATGCAGAAAGAAATTCTGGCTTCAGAGGGCTGTGAAGAGTCTGTGCTGTGTTGTCAGGGTTGCTTTGGGTGGAATGTGAGCTCACTTGACGCAAAACTCAGAACTAGTATCTAGTCCTTCCAGCTGGGACAGACAGGACTGAGACACTCCACCCCACCCCGTGTCTCTGCCCTGTTTGATGTCTTCCCTGGCTGCTCACTTCAGTTTTAAAGCCTGGCTTATTGTAGGTTTGCTCTGCTTATCCCTCATGCTCCCTGTGTGCTTGCTCCCTTTGTTTTTGTGTTGTTTTTCTTTTTAACTCTAACACCCAGTACCAGCTTTCTATGACATTACTTTCATGTGATACAGACTTTTCTTAATCCATTGCTCATGATCTTTGCTCAGTTTGTTGGCACCAATCTTTCCAATTAAACTATTGATTGGTATGGGTTTTTTTGTAGCACTGCTGTCCTGTGCCCCACAGCTCTGTAAAAATGCTCACTCTAAAATACATCATCAGTTTTGTTGTTATTGCATGGAAAGAGGTGACCACTGGTCAAGAATCTGCTCTATCTGACTTGCCACATGTGTCAGCAAAGCAGTTTGGGGAGGCCCATGGTGCTTTTCAGTTTCTGGTATCTCAGAAAGCAGATTTAGCTGAGGAAAAGCAGTGAGGGTTGATAAGAATCTTCCAGAGGGTGCAGGGAGAGAAATTCCTGCTCCATCTGTGTGTGGGGCACGGGACTCCCAGCCCCTTCCAGCTTCCTGGGGTGACTGACTCTGCCAGGAAGGCAAATAACCTGGGATTAGGTGGCATTGGACTGTCTGCTTGGCTGGAGTAAAGAATGCTGTGATGTGGAAATCTAGTATTTAGTGATATGTAATTAGTCTAATGGTGATGATTACTAAAATCCATAATCTAGGAATTTGCGAAGATGGCGCAGAAAATAGCTTGTTGTGGGAGAACTGGATTGCTTTACCCATATTCACTTTAAATTGGTGTTCAGATGAGTTCCAAGTTGGAATTTTTTCAATGCTGTGTTTAATGAAAGAGCATAGACCAATTCTTCATATGGTTCTCTGTCAGCCATTAAAAATAAACTTCTCTGTGCTCGCTTTTTAGCTTTCAATCCTTGTTACTGACACTTAGGTAACCTCTCCTGTAGAGAACTCTAAACCAGCTACACTCGGGTGCTGTAGGATAGATTTTCTGATTTATGTACCCTTGAGGAAAAAAATCTTCCTTTATTAATTTCTGTGCTGCTGGAGGTCATGCTGCCCAGCAGCCCAGCTTGCTTAGGGTCTGGCTGTCCTGCTGGCAGTGACACCTTGCTCCATGTACAGCTCCAGCAGCATTGCTCGTTGGGATGTCACACTGGGTTTGTCAGGACAGGTGTGCCACAGCTGAGTCAGGATCCCTTTTCCACAGACACTGCTGCTGCCTGACCCCACTCAGGAGGGGAAATTCTACTGCTCACACTTTAAAGAGTGAGTAGCAGTGCCCATGAAGAATTCTTTGGGTCTAAAGCCCATCATGGAGTAGTAGATCAGCTCTCTGCAGGGAACAGTTTCTGTGGAAGCTCTAGGATGTTTTTGCAGTAATTCCTCACCTGAAAACTCAGGTGAGTTTGCTTTTGTTCTTGGGGAGGATGAACAATGGAAGGACAGAGTGTACAGAAATAAAAAAACCCTTGGAATACTGATCTCCCTGCTGTACAGAGTGGGGTTTACTCATATCCTGTGTTATATGTGAGTGCAGCCATCCTGGGAGTTTTACTCAGCTCCCTGTCTCGGGGTGCTGCCTGTGGGCCAGTGTGGAGCACAAAATGTAGGACTGGATAATTTGTGCTATGAGAAGGTGGCCCTGAGCACTGAGGGAGCTGCATAGTGCAGGAGTATCCATTTCTCACCTCTGCTTTGGGCTCCATGACCTAGTTCTGTCCCAGCCATGCTGGCTGGGGAGCAGCAGCGTCTGCTGCCAAGTCTGACTCTGCTAATCCAGCTCTGTGCTGGCCCTGCTGCTCCCTGCATTGCTGCACTTGCACAGGCTCTGTGTTCCCACCATCCCAAAGCACAGGTGTAAACAGGGGGTGTTTGCAAATGCTGGGACAGAGTCTTGCAGTTTTCTGGGGATGCTGTGAGTCCTTTCTCTTCTGAGAGTGCCTGAGTGTATTTGTCAGCTTTGGGAGGCAGTGCTTGGCAAGCATCTGTGCAGAGTGTTGTTGATTTTATTTCAAAGAGCTTAAGATGGTAAAATCACTTTTATCTCTGGCAGAGCAGCTATGGAAGTGACCTCTGCCTGCTGTCCTGGTTCAGCTCACATCTCATAAGGCTGCTAATTGCAGTGGTGTAAAAGGAGATGAGAGAAATTCTGATTTCCCAGCTCTGTTCTGCAATCAGAATGAAATCAGGTGGCTCATGAGACGTTCATTTAGTTGCAAGGAATAGAATACAAGACTTCAACTTGCTGTCATCATGGTATTGAGATGCAGAAATACAAGAGTCTATTCCATCCTGGAGTTAAAGTCCAGCAAACTGCCACAAATCTCTATTTCCATTGGAATTGGAGGGGGTGTTTTAACACACAAGAGAAGAATTAGCGTGCTCTGCATATTCCACAAGCCATCTATATTTTAGTTTTTTTGCCAGTCCAAATGTAGCATTCTTTATATGACAGATCTGGGTCCTTTCTCATTTGGAAATTCCTGCATCAGGATAATCAAGAGGGGCAGTACACTTTGCTGATGATGTCTTATGAAGTAATGGCAAGGGAATGCTCCTGTGTAAATGTATGAATTGTATTTTTTCTACTTGTGAAGAAAGAGATTCCTCTGGTTTGCACCTCTTAGCCTGTAGAAATTTGTATCTATTCTAACGTATTTCCTTAAAATATAAATGTTAGCAGGACAGTCAACATTCAAATATCAGCTGTTGCTGATATATTATATATGATATATATAATATATATTATATCTATATCTATTTTATTTTCACGTGTGAGAAACTTCTCCAAAGTCAACAACTGCCAGGAGCAGCCAAACAAGAAGGTAGAAAGAGACCAGTGTTGAGTAGAGAGTGTCATTGTGTCTTAGCTTGAATGAGCTATTATTCTGATTACTGGAGATGTATCATGGCTCTGGTTTTGGGGGCTCAGACTTCATAAAATCTAGATAGTAAAGAATAAAAGTGACCTCACTGCAACAAGCAGCTGGGTCGGCTGTTTATCATTTTTATAAAATCCCAGGCTGGTTTGGGTTGGAAGGGAGCTTAGAGCTCATCTCATCCTACCCCTGCCATGGGCAGGGACACCTTCCACTATCCCAGGTTGCTCTAACCTCAGTCCATTTCTGATATTGTGCTTTCTCAGGTGCCATGTGCCTGAGCAACTGGGCTGAGTGCCTTTGTTTTGGAGACACCTGTGTAGACACCTAAAACAAAAGGTGTACCTGTGTCACCACAGCACAAAGGGTGATTAATTGGGAGTCACTTCTTGCCATGGACAAACAGTTGGGAGGTTGAGCAGTAGAGGAGGGTGGGTGTCAAATTTACTGACACCTTACCAAGCCCTGGTTTTTAGAATTCTGTAGAGGGATCAGAACTGATTTCAGAGCCTTTCTTGAAATTTCCATAGTGTAACACCAGAAATGTCACACAGGCCCTGGGGCATGACCAGGAAATGGATAGCCTGGAGTTTAGAGCTTTTCTGTCTTCCTTTGCTGTCCTGTTAGTTATGCATGATGAAGGTCAAGGCTTTTGTATTTACTGTACTTTTCCAGAGTAAATTCCCACACCAGCTCACGTGGGGTTTGCAGCACCTAGGGTTTTGTGGTCTAGGCAAATGTAGGACCAGAATTTCTCCTGCCAGATCGGCCTCAGTTTGTTTCAGAACTCTCTGTAGGTGAAGAGCTGTACTAAAACATCCTTCTGTGTTATGAGTCAGCTCCAGACAGAAATCTCCCTGAAATTCCAACCTGTTAGAGAAGCAAACCCTGCTCAGAGTGTGAATTTTTTTTATCACCTCCCCATGAAGGCTGAGCCAGACAGGTACATTTTGCATTAGGTGTGGTTGAGTGCACAGAAACCTGAAACACAACCTCCAGCTGGGCTCTCTGCATCCATTTTAAACTCAAAACTCTCTGAGCAAACCCTGCATAAAAACCTGCTGATAGAAACCCAGCAGCTCTCTGAGGAGCTCCTTTTCCTGGCCCTGCAGGTGCTCTTCTTTCTCACATGAAGCAGGCAAGCCTCCTGCAGCTGCCTGGGGTCTCAAGACCTTCTAGAAAAGACTCAGTTTGCTAGAGCTTTTCCTTGCAATTCTGTTAGGATGGGCTGGACTAAATGGTCTTGAAGAGCTCACCATAATTCTGTGATGCTGTGTGCTGTCTCAGGGATATCTTGCATTCTGTCAAGTGTAATTAAACTGATTACTCACAGAGTAACTTAATGCAACTGTGATATAAAGGTCTCCTAGGAGCTGGGGGGAACCGTGGCAAGAAAATAATCCACCTAAGTGATTAAAAGGTTGGGATCCATTAGGCCACCCAATGAAAGAACTTCTGCATTGAAGTGAATAATTTATATTCACACAGATTTACTTGTTCATGGAGGGGCTTTACCCAGAGTGATTTACAGGTTTACAGCTTTCAGAGTAAATTATTTGACTTTGGCCTTTTCTCTCCTTTTCCCTTTCCAGGGCTCCTGAGATCATCCTGGGTTTGCCGTTCTGTGAAGCCATTGACATGTGGTCACTGGGCTGTGTCATAGCTGAGCTGTTTCTGGGCTGGCCTCTGTATCCAGGAGCATCTGAGTATGACCAGGTGAGAGCACGTGGGGGATGTGGGATCTTCACATGAAACCAAATTTTCTGCCTTCAAACCCTCCTGAACCCCTCATGTCCTGCATCAGTTTTCATCAGTGCACATTGCTGCTGTCTGAGCTCATTTTCTCTCTGTGATATTCCCATTGTCTCTGGGCAGGGAGCACAGAGTTCTGTGTGTTTTCACTTGAGCTGAGTGTATCCTGTCCAAAAAAAAGGGGGCCAATTTGCAGTTAACCCCTGGTTTCCAAACCAAAAGCTGTTGAAACACCTTCCTGCCAAAGCAGAAGCGAGGTGTGTGTTCCTGGTGTGAAGCACCCTCTGTAATTTCACCATGAGGGCAGTTTTTCCATGTGGGGACAGAGCAAGCTTATCATTCCTGCCCTGTTAATACCTACAGCAACCCTCAGTTTTTATGCAAATTGTGAGCCTCAAGCTGTCTTTGGAATCCAAGGGCAAGACTCTGAGAGGCATCTTGAACTAATTAGTCCTGTCTGTGGACTTGGCATTATTACCTGGCCTAGTCAGTGCCTATAAAAGGACAAAAAGTCTGTGAGAGGGGTTTTTTTCAGAGTAGCTTTTCCACTGGGGTTTTTGTGGTGGGATCTTGTTACAGTGCTTGGTATGGTTTTCCTTATGTGATAAAATACATGAAAACTTACTAAGTTTGAAAACTTACTTGTCATGTGTCTTCCCAGTGCTGTAAATTTCCAAAGGAAACACAGTTGTACCTTAATTAACAGAATGAGTTAGAAAGTAGCTGAGGTAGGGCCTGGTGGTTTCCTTGTGCACTGAGTTTTGTGTAATTCTGAGAACCTTATCTGCTCATTTAGGTGGCTGGGGAGGAGCTGCTTTTTCCATTGCTTAATGACAGGATTCTGCAGCCCTCTGTGAGGTGTGACTTCATCGGGTTCATTTTGATGTCTGAATTTCCCTTGAAGACTGGGGATGACTTGGCTTTCATGTTTTCTGAGATCCTGCAGCAGAAAGTGGAAGTTGAGGTGGAACATGTGAGAGGACGTCTCCAAGAATAAGTTAATGGGCTGGGATGGGATTTACAGCTATTTTTTTAAACACCCTTTGGCTGTAAAGCAAAAGTTATGTCCTGTAACAGTAGAACTGCTACCTGAACTACTGTGTAGGTACAAGAAATATTCACGTGCAGACACTTGGATCCACCTTGGCTTAATTGAAAAGTGAGCCCATAAATTCAGGTTATCACAAGATGTGACAGTGCCCTGTTTTGGCACAGTGGCATAGCAGGAGTTTGGCAAATAAGAAATGCTAAGGATCTGTAATTGATGTTTTGATCAAGGCACAGTTACATTAACACTGTGGAGTTTTTAATAAATTTGCTATTTTCTTTCCTTTTGAGCATACCTTTTTATTTGTTATCTCTTTACCAGTGTCTTATCAATACCATCACAAGGATTTGAGTGCATCTTCCAAAATTCTGAGCCATGTAAAAATTTACATTTTTAACATGTAAAAATTAGTATATTAAATGTGTTTGAGGATGTTTGGTCTAGGTTTTCTGGTCAGTGAGAGCTTTTGCCATATTCTAAAGTTTTGTGCCTAGTGTATTGTGTAGGCATGCACAGCGGTGTTGCTTGGATAATTATGCCTTTAATTATTTATACATACATGATAAATTTTGCAGTATTTTTCCCTCAAAATATGTATTTCTTACACTGTTTAATGTCTTAAAAGCCTACAGTCTGCTTACATACACATTAGCAAAAAATATTTTCATAAAATAAGAAAGATGCATTTGAAACTTGAAATTTTTGTGTGGTTGCAAAAGTGGCTTTATAAGTACTTGAGATGGTCCCTTTAATTTTGCAGTTTTGCATATCTGGACAGTCTTTCTTTACAGGTAATTTTCTATTAGCTATGAACAAACCTGGCTGTTAATTACCTCATTAGCTGTGAATTCTTTATGGTGGGAGTCCTCACTTTTGTAATTTTCTTTCCTAGATTCGTTATATTTCACAAACTCAAGGCCTTCCAGCAGAATATCTTCTCAGTGCAGGAACGAAAACAAGCAGGTTTTTTAACAGAGATCCAAATTTGGGATACCCACTGTGGAGGCTCAAGGTTTGTCTGTCTCTTCCAACCCCAATTCTCATTTGTTCATTGAAGGCTTGATCAAAATTCCCACCCAGTTTTGGCGTGCTGTGAAAACATTGTGAGTGAGGATTGGCTTTGAAACGTGGCTGATTTGGGGTCTGTGAATTGCAGGAGCTGTGCAGAACTCCCGGTGCTGCTCTGCCAAAAGCAGCAGTGCATGATAGCACCAGCAAAGAGTGGGTGTTCCATCATTGAGATAATGGGTGCTTATTGTGGGCTGCTCATTCTCAGGGAAGTGTGTCACCTTGTTGTCATCTCCTGACAATCCAACCAGTAAAAAATGCAGTATTTTGTGATGGATTTGTTAGTTTAACAGGAATCTGGTTATGGGTTGGCAGAGGACAGGAAAGAATGGGATGTAGGCCTGATTTACCTTTAAAGCTGAGCAGCAAAAAGAAGGGAATTTTGCCTTTCTTCTTTGTAGAAGAGGGATTTAAAATATTTATAGCCTCTTCCTAAATCAGAAACCTTCAGTTCTTTTGGCTAATGTACTACCCAAGGAAGCCTTGAAATGAAGTCATCCTGTTTTTAATTCAGCTTTGCAATAAATGATCTTTCCAGCTGAGGGAATGGGATCCCAGGGCTCTTTGGATTTGACCTGCTGGTGTGTGGTATGTCTGAAAGCAGTGAATGATCATTTACCTCAATTTCTTATACCAGCAAATTTCTTGCTGCTTTTTCCTTATCAATATGCAGTATCTATGTTTATACTAATTTGTTTTTTTTATAGACCCCAGAAGAACATGAGTTGGAAACTGGAATAAAATCAAAAGAAGCTCGGAAATATATATTCAACTGTTTGGATGATATGGCGCAGGTGTGTGGGGATCTTGGGACACAGATAACTCATTAATTTTTCATAAATTTAATTCAGTAACTCTAATTTTTGGGGGAATCTCTAAAAATGAGGAGTAACCAGTCGTCTTTCACTGGCAGTTCAGAGCACTGATGGAGGTTTACCATAGTGCCAATTTGCATCAGAAATCAGTGGATTAAAAACAGTCAAAATGTTAATTATGAAGCTGTTTGAAATGTTTTGAGTTTTCTTATGCCTCAGTGTGTTAGACAAGAGTGTGCCCAGGCTGTTCCCAGCATAGTAGAGCAGTAGGAGAGCTGAGCCCCTTCAAATGCATTTGTAGGGTTAAACCTCTTATTAGACTTTGGAAATAATGACAAGAACTACAGGTCATTCTTACTGTCATTCTCTCTTTAGAGGTAAAATGAAGGAATATCTGAGTGGTTTTACTATCATGAGGCCTTAAATCTTAAATACCAGTTTTCTATCACTCTTGTAGCTGTTACCATCAGGTTACATCTGTGCAGAGAAGGTGGAATCATTCTGGCTTGCCAGCCCCATATAGATTCCCCCAGAACATGAGGGGATTTTGCCAGTGAGTGGAGAATGAAGCCTGGTTGATACCTTTGAATAAACCCAACCCCCTGTTGAGAATTCCGCATGAAAGTTTGACTTCCTCTCCTAGAATGAGCAAGGGAAGGGTGGTGTTTTAACACTGTAATACCTGAAATTAGTCTGGCTAAGAGACAGTAATGCTTAATAAATATTTCTGTGTGATGTGAAGTTACTGAATTGTTAGGCAGCAATTAATTTGATGCTTGTGTGAACTTCTCCCATTTGTTTTTCTAGGTGAATATGTCTACAGACTTAGAAGGGACCGACATGTTGGCAGAGAAGGCTGACCGAAGGGAATACATTGATTTGTTGAAGAAAATGTTGACAATTGATGCAGATAAGAGAATTACTCCACTGAAGACTTTGAACCATTCGTTTGTTACAATGGCACATCTGCTGGACTTCCCCCACAGTAACCAGTAAGCTCCCTTGGATGAGTTGTTTTGTTTCAGGATTTGCTGGAATCACAGAGCAACACTTCCCAGCTTTCTGTCAGTGCTGTTTTGTGCAGTTCCTGGCTGATCTGAAAATACCAATGGCATGTGTAAGGAATGGAATGTTCATAAGCTTCCTTTTCATGTTTTAGGACATTCTTTGTTGATTTAAAAGAACCTAAACCTAAAGCACGTGCATAAAGTTGGGAATCTGTCACATCTGTGTCCTGTTTTTACAAATCTGATGTTTTCCTTCTGTCATTCTGTTCCAGTGTGAAATCTTGCTTTCAGAACATGGAAATCTGCAAGAGAAGAGTGAACATGTATGATACAGTGAATCAGATCAAGAGCCCTTTCACCACTCATGTTGCTCCTAACACAAGCACAAACCTGACAATGAGCTTTAACAACCAGCTCAACACAGTACACAACCAGGTATAGCATCTTTCACCTGTTTTATCCTAATCAAAGACATGGAGTAGGCTGATCTGGTGCCATCCGGCCAAAATTTAAACTACTGTCCAAAATTCATAGTCTGGTCTCAAGGTGTAATTTTCCAAAAGTCAGTACAAGGAGCCTCTTCATGTATTGAAAATTTGTCAGTTCAGCAGCAAGTAAATTGGGTGCAGTTCATGTTTTTTTGTTCTGTGTTGTCTTAAGCCTTTTACCTCAAGCATTTTCCAGGTGCTTTCCTCCTAGTTTAATATTGATGGTTCCTGTTGTTTGTTTTATAACAAAGAGAGATAAGATTACAAGAGATAAGTGATTTTTTTGTTTATTTTTCTAGGCCAGTGTGTTGGCTTCCAATTCCACTGCTGCTGCTACTCTTTCCCTGGCCAACTCGGACGTCTCCCTGCTCAACTACCAGTCTGCCCTGTACCCATCCTCTGCAGCCCCAGTGGCAGGAGTGGCTCAGCAGAGTGTTTCCTTGCAGCCTGGAACCACCCAGATCTGCACACAGACAGACCCCTTCCAGCAAACATTCATTGTTTGTCCCCCTGCTTTTCAAAGTAAGCCAAGAACCCTTTGTGTGATGCTGTGGTTTCAGTCAGTTAAGGCAGGAGAAATTGTGATTTATACTAAACTGAGATAACCCTGGCTTGAGCAGAGCTTTCTGTGGGTGTCACACAGGGTTCTTGCATCAGATGGAAGTGTAGAACCAGGTCAGACATGTGCAGGCAGCTTGATTCCCTTCCAGATCGTGCTGGAACAGGTGACAGGATCTTGCCTGCCTGGCTTGCAGGTTCCAGCTGGTTGCTCAACCAGTTTTTCCCCCTGAACTGAACACAGCAGCATTCCACAGAAAGCAAGGAGCAGAGGAGCCAGACCTGCCTAAAAATCAGTGTGTCTTGCTGTGTTTTCTCAAGAGCAAATATCTGGTGTTTGAGCCTCAGTTCACAACCCTGATGCAGGTTTTTGCTGCCAGTGGATTCTCACAGGTTTTAGGTCAGTGAGCTTAGCACAGGCAGAGCTCTGTTCATGCTCAGGGTTCTGTGGTTATGCTAATACCTGGACAGTCTGAAGGGTTATTTGTGATAATGTTATTTGTGACTTGGGAACTGATGGTGTAAGGCTTGAGCTTTAAACTTGTCTCAAGCAACTTGGAACAGCATTACTGTTCCTGCAAACCAGGCTCCACAGAGCCAGGCTGGTGAGGGCTGGCTGTCCATCATGGATCCCAGGATGCAGAAGTATTTCCTCCAGCTGGTGTTTTGCTGGGATTTTGTCAAAGCTTTTTTTTATCCCTTAATCCAATCCTATCCTCTGCCCTTACCTAGTAGGAATTTGATTTTTGGAAACAAATGAAAGAATAATAAGGCAGCTTAGTGATGTGTCTTGTCCTCCACAGCTGGACTTCAGGCAACTACAAAGCATTCTGGGTTCCCAGTCAGGATGGAAAATGCTGTCCCAATTGTGCCACAAGCACCTGCAGCACAGCCACTGCAGATCCAGTCTGGAGTTCTCACACAGGTAAAAAACCCATCCCAAACCCCTCATAGGTTTAACTGCAATTCCACCATCCAGGAGAACCTGCCTGAGTGCAGGGGATTCTCAGGACACTCTGAAAGGTTAAATGCAGGTCACTTCTAAGACAGTATTTTCTTGTTTTGTTTTGTTTTTCTGAAATATTTAAAGTCTGAGCTAATTTATATCATGTACCTCCCTGGTTTTAGGAGTTTGATTTAATAATGGGAATAAATATGTGGTTTTCAGCTGCTAAAAACAGGCTGTATTTTTCAGGCATGAACACTGCCTTACAGGCAGTGCTGGTCATTTTTGCCTACACTTTAAAAACGTGGCAGGAGAAATCATTGCTGTGAGAAGTGAGATCCCAGTAAATAGAGGTGACAACAAAGATCACTCATGCTAAAATTTTGTCTTTAAATCAACAAAATTATTTCTGAATCCTTCTCACCTAGTTATATTCATAGTGTGAATTAATGTATAGTAATGACATATCTATTTCTGCAGTTTGCAGTTTAAGCAACATGCAATACCAAAATTTGCAAATCATTCTAAAAATGATGTTATAAATATTAGTGATGTGTCATAAATTAAAACCATTTTAATTTCCAAAAAGTAATCCTTTAATATACAATAAGTTCCTGGTGATTCACAAGTTTTATTCACTGAAAATTTGTAGTTGCCTTTATAATTAAGTGCATTTTTATTTATTTGGATAGTGTTAGTTTCTGCTGGCATTAACATGTACTCTGTTAGTTTTACTCTTCAGGCAGTATATTGCACTTACTGACCTTCTTGTAGAGGAGTAATTTTTAGTTTGTTTAGTCCAAATATTTCTGTATTGCTGGTTTCTTTAGCATTAATGATACAGGTCACAGTATCCAAAAAGCAGAATCCACTTGAAGGCCCACCTGAATCCAAGAGTGCACATTGCACACCAAGAATATAATTTTAATTAGACATTTGACGGACTAATACATGTCTGGGTGGTTTCATCACAGATAATTTTGCTCTTCGTGACACCAAAGATCTGCTGTGCCTTCCATGAAATCCCATAGTTTATCTTTCCTCAAGAGTTTTGGGTGTGGATTTGAAGGTCTGACAGCAAGTGCAGGAGCTGCCTGGGGTGCAGTTTGTACCATGGCTAGTGCAGCGTGGCTGTCACTTGCTCTCTGGGACCCAGTAAAGTGCCAGTAGCTGAACTCACTTTGACTTTTGAACTGTGTCATCAGAGAGAGATCCCATCCCCAAATTTTTCCCCAACTTGTTTTGACTTTTGAACTGTGTCACTGGACTGGAGATTCCCAGTTCCTCGTGCTCTCCTCAGGGCCATGAAGGTGCCTGTGGAGGAGCTGCAGGGTCTGGGTGTTGGTGTTGGTGTCGGTGCGTCCCTTCCCTCCCGTGCCTCAGAGCACCGGCGCGGTGCCCAATGCACTGACCTGCACTTACCTGCCTCAGCTCTGTGTTTCACTCACTGCCTGATCTACATTTCAGGGAAGCTGTACACCACTAATGGTAGCAACTCTTCATCCTCAAGTAGCCACCATCACGCCGCAGTATGCGGTGCCCTTTACCCTGAACTGCGCAGCCGGCCGGCCGGCGCTGGTCGAACAGACGGCTGCAGTACTGGTAATTGCCTCCCTTGATTGTGTTCACTAACTGAGTTTTTGTTTTAACTTAGACTTGCAGAGGGCATGGAAGCATGTGCCATCTTGTGGCTGTGTTCTTGCTACATCTTAATGTCTTGTTGTTTTCCTCCCCAACATTGCTGAAGCACTGTCTGACTCTGACGTTTAGTGTGGCTCTGTAAAGAATCCAGATCCATTGACTATTACCTTTGCTAGCCTAGTACTGAAAGCTCTTCTAAACTAGACCCTAGAAGAGTTGTAATCGTTCTTGTTCTTCGCTTACTCTCCTATCTCAGCCTTTTGATTGTGGAATACAAAGGAATCAGTCTTTAGCTTGACTCTGCTACAGGTACCTGGATGGCCAGAATTTGACCTACTTGGCAAGTTAGCTCCATATTTTTTTTGCAACACATGTAAAGCTGCTTCATATGGAGAAATGTTTCAGATCATTAAGCACAGGCTAAAATCCCTAATGACAGCAAATCCTTTAATGTATTCCTCTAGCAGTTGATTTCTCTTAACCTCTGTTGAACATTGACAATGATTTTCTGGCCTTTTGTTATTTATAGCCAATCGCACGTAGCTTGCTTCATCCAGATAAAGATTCTGTTCCTCACAGATACTTTCAGTTGATACGTATTTCTTGGTTGAAATTAAAGGTGAGCTCTAGTATCCAAAATGGCAGTAGCTAGCTTTTAGGTAATTTGGAATAATTTGAAAAAAGGATGGGGGAAGGGAATGAACACACCTTTAAGAAGTGTATGTTTGCAAAATTGTTCTCTTCTGTATTCTGGCACCTGCATCAGAACAACTTTGCAAGTGCCACAAAGAAGTCATTGTAAAACTCCAGAATCAGATCAGTGAAGCTTATGAAAACATTGCAGTGCACTGAAGTGCTGGTATCCTCACATGTCCTTCAAAGCACATTCCATTGTGTGAACCATATTGTTTCTTGTGGCTTTAAAGTGGTAGTTTGAATGTCATTTTCTTCCGAGAGGGAGGCCTCTGCTGAAGTGGAATTTCCTCGAGTCATACCTGTCCTGAAATTTAAACCCTTTCATTTGAGTTCTTGTGAACCAAGTGAGCTGTTCCCTGGTTCTGGGGATGGGAAGGCAGGAGAGTGGGGTTCTCCTGGTCACAGCTCTGAGCTAAACAGACCCAGGGGTGCTTCTTCTTTCCTATTGTTGAATTTCGATTGCTGAAAGTCTGCAATCTGGGCTCCAAAAACAGCAAGGGGTGACTGTAGCAGAGCTTGGGACACAAGCAAGTTGTTAGCGATGTTTTCCAAGCTGTCTTTGGGCTTTGATTCAACAGGCAGATTCTGTTCTGCTGTGTGTGTGCAGTGGACCTGAGGTTCAGCTCCCTGTACAGCAGGGGAGATCAGAGCCAGCTGTCTCCAGACTCTGAGCCTGCATTCTGAGTTTCTCTGGAGGACTTGACTAGTTCTGTTTGGATTCTGGGAGCCTTTGGCGTGAATTTGCTCACCTTTAGTGCTTCCAACACTTCTCCCTTGCTGCTTCCCCTGAGTTTGCATTAGCCATTTGCTAAGCTTTGCATATTTTTGTCCTTCCTCTGTCAAAACAGTTCGTCGCTTGGAAGGCCCGATTTCTGCCTCTCATTGGGAATTTATATCTTGCTGTATTAAACTCTCTGCTTTGTCTTGTGCAGGTGTTGGCTTTTGGAAAGACGCATGGTGTGACTTTTAACATATTTCTCTTTTTATTTTTTTATTTTTTCAATGTTATTGTTGTTATTATTGTTATTATTATTCTGCTTATGTTGGCAGAGGTTTTAGCAGCTCTCTGCTTTGAAGGCTTCTTGTTCGGAACTGGTATTTGTACTAAGTGGATCTGTTACTTGCAGAGATACTGAATTTAAAACAGCATGTTTTGCAGTTTAAGCTGCAGGAGAGAAAGCCATATATTATCAAAATAATGAAAATATTACAGTATCAGATTTATTTGGACAGGAGCATTGATAATATTAATGAATTGAACCTGCCTTCATATAACTAAATTATCTCTCAGTGTGGCTTTTCTTAAATGCTTCAGTTGAGGTGGGTGAATTTCCACAATAGTAACACCATCTCAGCTCTCTCAACATGAGCCCTGCAAGGCAGAAAAACAGAAAGGACCAAATTGGTTTAATATTTTGGGAGTTTTCAGTAGAACAGTGGTGTAAGGTTATGTTCAGAAACGGTCCTAAGCAGTTCTGCTGCACCTGGCAGTGCAATACCTGGCTGCACATGCAGCACAATATAAACATTGTTTTCTTCTGGTGACAGCAGTGATAAAAGAGATCTGAAAAGTTCATTCCTCTGGTTTTTCTTGTTCTTGAAAAAACGTGCATGGATGAGCTATATCTCTGCAAGCTAACAATCCACCCCAGTGCATTTATTGCTTGGACAAATCTCTGCCTGCCCCTGCAGGAACTGAAGCCTAGTGAGCCTCGTGTCTGTGTTTGTTGTTTTGCAGCAGGCCTGGCCGGGGGGAACCCAGCAGATCCTGCTCCCTTCCACCTGGCAGCAGCTCCCAGGGGTTGCTTTGCACAACTCTGTCCAGCCAGCAGCCGTGATCCCAGAGACCATTGGCAGCAGCCAGCAGTTGGCTGACTGGAGGTAGGGATTGCAGGGCTCCAGCTCCCTGCCAAGTGGGAATACGTCCATCACAGTGCCCACAATGTCTCCCTTCCCCTCGGGGGCTCGCTGCTGCTTGAGGTTCCTGCAGTGTAGTCACGGGATTTGGGTCTCTTGTTTTTTTCTTTGCTCCAGGAATGCACATTCCCATGGAAATCAGTACAGCACTCTCATGCAACAGCCATCTCTGCTGACCAACCATGTGACATTGGCCACAGCACAGCCTCTGAATGTTGGGGTTGCTCATGTTGTGAGGCAGCAGCAGAGCAGCAATGCGCCAGCAAAGAAGAACAAGCAGCCAACACCAAGCACAGCCAAGTAAGAATTCCATTGCTTCCTTTCCCAGTCCTAGAAAAGCCACAAGTTTGTTTGTGGAGGTTGCCTTTATGGTGTGAAAAACACATCTTCTGATCACAGAGGCATTTAGGGCATAACTTTATTGTGCTACATTTAAAGATATCTTGGAGAAAACCTTTGTGCTGTAGTCACTGATTTAAATTATATTGATTTCAGTGAGTGCAAGGACATGATTGAGCAAGTGCTTTGCTGTCCTGGTCAGGGGGATTTTACACTCCCAGGATGTTGGTGCCAAAGCAATGCGAGTGGCAGAATTTTTGAATGAGGGGTGGCAGTTTCTGGCAGTGTTCATGTGGGTCAGTCCCATTCAGAGCATTCCTGAGTGCTTTTGGCTGTGTCTGTGGCACTCTGCTGTTTGTCTGCACTGAGGTTCTGTTCATGTATGTATGTTTATGCTTGTATGTTCCTGATGTTCTTTTTCCTGGAGCTGAATCCTGCTGTGCTTTTCCTGCAGGCCCAGCTCATCTCTGGAGCCTGTGCCCACCCAAGTGTACTCTCTGATTGGGAGCAGCCCCCTGCGCTCCACCTCCTCCTCCTCCAACGTGCTCGTCCCTGTGCAGGAGCAGCACCAGCCCATCGTGATCCCTGACACCCCCAGCCCCCCTGTCAGTGTCATCACCATCCGCAGCGACACTGATGAGGAGGAGGACAGCAAATACAAACCTGCCAGGTGGGATTTCATTTAGCCTGTGCTGGGCTCAGCTCACACATCGGGGAGAGTGGGGAACACGCTCAGAAGAGCTGCATAAGACACAATATTCCCCATCACATCTGTGTGTTGTTGTGCCTGCAGTTAATCTGAGTTTTATCTGACAAGGAGGGGGGTGTGAGATTCCAGAGGGAGATCTGTAATCTGGTGGGCAAAGTTGAATGTTTCCCATTTGCATTTTGTCTTTTTCTCCCCTGCAGTTTGGGTATGAAGCAGAGATCCAACGTCATCAGCTACGTCACTGTTAACGATTCCCCTGACTCAGACTCATCCCTGAGCAGCCCCTATGCCCCAGACCCCCTGGCCTCGCTCAGGAGCACTGGGAGGGCCCTGGAGCTGCCCAGCAGAGCTGCTGCTGACAGCTCCAGCTCCCGCACCATCATTGTCCCACCCCTGAAAATGCAGCTCAACGACTGCGTTGTAGCCACCCAGGCGTCAGGTGGGTATCTCAGTGTGCTTTGCCAAGGCTCAGGTGCTCTTCTGTGCCCGTGTCACATTCATGTTCACAGTTTTGGACTTTCCTCAATGGGTCTTTCTCAGCTGCTGTTCTGAAAGCATTGGTCTGTTTTCATAGTCAATGACAGATTTACCTTTCATTTACATTTGGCTGCATTTAGGAAGATCTGTAAACATTCCTGATGGTTTCTTAGTCACATTTGAAATCGTAATTAAAGCAAAATCTCCGTGACAGAAACAGTCAGTTTGGTGCCCAGAGCTGGTTACCACCAGCATGGGAAGGGGGAGGACTAAGCTTGTGACATCTTCCAGGCATCCTGAGCAGCACCAGTAAGACCAAGCCAGTGGCCTCAGTGAGCGGGCAGTCATCAGGATGCTGCATCACACCCACGGGGTACCGCTCCCACCGTGTCGTCACCAATGGCGTGCAGCCCCTCAACCTCAGTCAGGTGAGCCTGCCCGCTTCTGCTGGCCTCAGGGATGCTTCAGAACTGCTTTAGAAACATGTGAGGCAGGGAGAAAGGCTGGCTTGCAAGAGGATCAGTAGTTGCAAGCACTAATTCTTTGGAGCTGATCCTGTCCTGAGGTGGTGCAGAGTAGGACAGACTCTGTGGGGAGTACAGGGAGGTTTCTCAAGGCAAAGAATTTGTACCAGAGAGCAGGAGAAGGAAGTCTCTCTCTGTGCTCTTTGTCACACCTGAATTGTAGCAGGTCCTTCTTGCCACTCAGGATGGTGACACCAAGATCCAGCTGCTGAATTAGAGTAACTTTGAAGTTCTTCAGTTCTTTACCTTTCTTTAGATTTCACAGAGTTCCAAGCAGTAGATTAAGACTGGACTTTATCTCTCAAACTAACAATTGGCACCTGACATCTTCGAATGCTTCCATTCAAAGATTGGTTTAGCTTCATTTTGTGTCAGGACTTTTGATCTCTGGGTCACACACTGCAGCAGCCTCTCGGAGGAGAGGGAGCATTGTTACCCCTGCAGTTCACTTCTGGCATGGGCACCAGACAGAATTTATGGTGCTAAGACAGGGCAGGCCTGCTGCCACCCTCCCAACATGAAGAGGAGTGGATGTGTGAGGGGTTCTGGGTCAGATCTAGGACCTGCCTGCACCTGTCCAGCTGTGGAATCCCCCCGAGTGGCAGAGCAGAAGTGTAGCCTTTGTCCTTGTGGAGGTGCTGTTACCTTCTCAGATCTGTGGGAGGGTGTTACGAGGGGGATCTGCAGGTATGTCAGGGGGGATGGAGCTGTCCATCAGGGGGCTCCGGCTGCTGCTTGCCCACCTGAGCACGACCACTAACTTCCTTTACTCCCTCCCCTTGCAGAACCAGCAAACCACAGTGCTGGCCTCCCAGGAGAGAAGTGGCAATGCTGTCCCACGCCGGCAGCAAGCTTTCGTGGCCCCCCTCACGTCAACGATTTCTCAGGCTCCCTACACGTTCCAGCACAGCAGCCCAGTGCATCCTCACCTGGCAGCAGCCACGGCCAGTGCCCACCTGTCCAGCCAGCCCCACATGTACACTTATGCCCCCACCACTGCGGCCACGCTGGGCTCCACCACCTCCATCGCCCACCTGTTCTCCCCTCAGGGCTCATCTCGCCACACCACCTATGCTGCCCACCCCAGCACCCTGGTGCACCAGGTCCCTGTCAGCGTGGGGCCCAGCCTGCTGACCTCTGCCAACGTTCCCCCGGCCCAGTACCAACACCAGTTCGCTCCCCAGTCCTATATTGGTGCTTCCAGAGGATCTGCTATTTACACTGGATACCCGCTGAGCCCCACCAAGATCAACCAGTACTCCTACTTGTAGTTTCCATTGAAGCACTGTCCTGCGACGGGCCTGAGAGGCTGGAGAAGGATTTCAGGTGAACCTTTGCCTGGGAATGACTGCCTAGTTTGTGTTTCTCCCTGATCTGCTTGTATGTTGTTCCCAAATGTCTCTGGTGAGTTCAGTCACTAACTGAGCAGCATGTTTTGTTACCAGTACGAGGGTCACTAATTAAGTTTTTAAAATATTACTTACTTTTTATAGATGCTTTTAAAAAATTCATGGTCACATTTATTTAAAATTGTTCTGTTGTGCTAATCAAAAGGGGTGTCAAATCAGTGTCTCAGAAGACAGATCCTGATGTCTTTTTTAACTTGTGTACTTAAACTAAAAGATTTGCAGATTCTATTTTAGTAGCTTGCACAAATCCACATTGCCACTAAAAATGTAGTGCATGTTTATCTCATTACGTTGCTGGGGCAGTTTTAAAGTCAGATTTACTATTTTAAACATCTGTTCTCCAATTCACTTCTCTTTAACAAATTGCTGGTTCTGCAAAAGCCATTACATCTTTCCATGTATGTTTCTGTCAAAGGTGTTTTGTTTACTCCTCTACTTTGTTTAAGGACTGGTAGAGGCAGCTGCCTTATGCCAGCAACACGATACATTCAGGAGTCCTGTAAACCCTGGAGTCTGCTTTGTTTCCTTGAAAATTCTCCATTAACCCAGCTGAATTTTTGTTGTGTTCATTGAAGAATTCTTCTAAGTGGTTCAAACTGTATTCAGGATCTCACTGTGTGACAGAGCTCAGCAGCTCTGTCAGGATGTTGTTGTCTCCAGTTGAGAATGAATAATGCAGCATTGCTCTAAAATTTGGTTTCTGCAGCTTATTAGATGCTGGCCCTATAATGGAGCTGGATTCCTTCACAGAAGCACAGGGCTTTGCTTTGTTCTGTTTTTCTTAATATTTTTGCCTCATATGATTCATTTAGGAGGGAGATGAATTTGAAATACAATGAAACATCACTGTATTGATGTGTACAGCTTTTTATACTCCTGTGAGCGTATCCTCCTGGATATGTCAGCAGCTACTCTAAAGCGCTCTTAAATAAGACTTGTAAACAGTACATGCATGTAGGAATTGCAACAAAAAAAAAAAGAAAAATGAAGACAAAAAAAGAGAAAAAGAAAAAAGGAAAAAAAAAATCCAGATTTTAAAGTTTATTACTGAATTTAAAACTATTTTAGAAGTTTTGTATTGGTGGTGTTTTAATATTTTACAGAAAATGAAATATGTACATATTGATTAGAAAAATATAACAAGCAAAACTTCCTGCTAACCCCAAATGTTCTGTCTTTGTAATCAAAATGTGTAGTGATTATACTTGAACTCTGTACTTAGTGTTTGTCTAATTCTTAAACGTTCCTGGGGATGGAAGTGTTGTATCCTTTGTATTTAAACCAAAATGAATTGATTCATGTTGGAATGTATGTGATATAATGCAATGGTTAGAGCTCATCACTGTAGCACTGAGAGAGGAGTAGAGCTTCACGAGAGGAAAGGATACCTTGGATTTGTTTTGCACAGGTATGTGTGATGAAGAGTTGTTTGGTGTGTCCCCTTATTGTAGTGCCTTAAATGATGATGTAGTGTGACTAGAGTTTACAGTGAGCTTGCCTTACGAGGGACCAGCAAGCCCCCGTCGAACTGAAGCAATTCACCCACCCAGCTTTCCCCAGCCAGAGCAGCAGGATGGTGCAGAGCCCTCTCCCTGTCACCGCTCTCATCCCAGCTCCGTTCTTGTTCCCAGTGAAGTGATGTCCCCTTGAAGCTTTCCCTTGAAATGGCACATGTACTGTTAGTGTCTGTCAGTGCATTTCGAATAAGGTAGTGCTGGGAATGCATTGGAATGTTTAGTCTAATATTGCAGAAGTGATTAAATACGTGCAATCACTTTTATTAGGTTTAGTGTAGCGTTACCTTCCCCCACAGGAATAGCAGACGTGTCGTGTAAAATATTGCTAGCTTGGTGATAGAATATTTATACCAAAGAGAGCCTGCTGTAAAGCACATAATACCATTAAAAAGTTTTATTATGCTACTGCTAATGTGGAGTTGTTGGGAAGGTCTGTCAGCTGTAGCCCTAGTTAGTGTTCTGAAGAAATACTCACTTTGGATAATCAGTGCAGGTTTTGGACTACGTTTTGTTTTCTTGGGTCCCTTGTACTAGGAATTATTTCTCATCTAATACATAAAGTATCTTGTTCAAAAGGATGATGATATAAACTGGTTCGAGCGGTCGTGTTACTGCAGCAATAAGAGGTTTGGTAACCTTGAACCCCAGTTTATGTTCCGTCCCAGTGGGAAGGAGGCGAGTCCTGACCTGGCTGTGGCAGGAAATGCCCGAGCCATTTCTGCAAGCCCACATTCCTGCTAGAAGGAAGCTTGGCCTGAGGTGGATGGACTAGGGAGGGATGGAGGGCTGTGGAGCTGGACGGTAGCATTAGCCCACGTTGATGTTCAGTGTGTTTGTAGTCGGAGCACTTCTGTGAGCGTGCGGAGAACCAACCTTGCTGTGCCACATCGTTGCTGCAAACGATGCTCTTTGTTGCTGTAGGCGCTTTCTTGCTTTTTTTGACATTGCTTGTGTTCAGTACTTGCCTTGAGATACCTCTTGGGTACAGAGTTGTGCCTTTCCACCAAAAGGCAAACCAAGCTCCAACTCCCTGTTTAACAAGTAGGACTTCATGGAAAACACTTAACTAACAGGAAAAAAAAAAAACCAATATAAAAAGACCTCTATCAAAATCTGCTAATAATTTTGAAAACTTGCCCACTTTCCCCTAAGAAAAGCAGCTTGAAATGTCCATTTAGAGACCTTGTAACACAATTAATTCAAATCAAATGTATTCCCAAAGCGTGGTGTCATCTCCTCCACTGCCCAAGTTCCCCGAAGTGTTGGAACAGGGAGGATGAGATGGAAATGATGTAGGTAAAATCAAACGTGCTCCATTTGGAACAAGCTGTAAAACCCCAAAATTCCTCTGTGATACACATCAAACCCCACCCCAGCAGGGCCAGGGCCTCCCAGTCTAGCCCCAGTATATGATGCCAAATTTAGGTGTATTGTGTTCTGCTCTAAGGAGGTACATCCTTCTTCCCTTGCATATCCAGCCTCAAAATGGGTTCAAGAATTGACTCTCCTCATTGTCAGGGCCTGCTACACATTTTTGGAGAGAAATCTATCTCTGGATAGGAATTGGCATCCGTTAGTTTTCTTTACAACTAGTTTGGGATTCACCTTTGGAATATTTGACAGCCGTGGTCCCAGCTAGGTTTGTCTCTGTGATTCTTGAGCTGTTCAATCAGTTTTCTCTTACCTGACCTGTATTTGCAGCTGTGATAGCCCCTGCAGAGGCAACTCCTGAGGCTTTCCTGCTTAGCACCTAGTTGATGGGATGCAGTAGTTTACCTCTGACTCAGCAATTTCTTTTACTACATGAAACTAAATTGCTTCTAAATGACAGGATTGGCACAGCCCTGCTTTCTTTTTATTAATTTTATTTAAACTTCTGAATGGTGCCGCATGTCCACATGGTTGTTTGTTGCTAAACTTTATATAATGTGTGATTTCAGATTCAGCTTGAACTATATCTATCTCACTACATGTAGCAGTACATTATATGTAATGTTAGTATTTCTGCTTGAATCCTTGATATTGCAATGGAATTCCTACTTTATTAAATGTATTTGATATGCTAGTTACTGTGTAAAATTTAACTTTCTTTTATGGTTGTGCTCTTCCTTTTTACAAGCCGCTAGATACAGGTAGTTTCTGACAATTACTGATCTATGTTTGTATTGCTGATGTACTTAGGGGGTATGTAAAAATCATTTTAACAAAAGAAATAGATATTTAAAAATTTAATACTAACTATATGGGAGAAGGGTCCATTGTGAAAACATAGTTTATCTTTGGATTCAATGTTTGTCTTTGGTTTTACAAAGTAGCTTGTATTTTAAGTATTTTCTACATAATATGGTAAAAATGTAGAACAATTGCAATGCATCAATAAAAAGGGTTAATTTTCTGTACTCTATTCATTTGATCACTTGGTCTGTTAAGGGGGGTGGGACGGGGTTTGGGGGTGTCCAGAATGAGGTGTCGATGGTGTGGGATGAGGATGCGGGTGTCCGGGATGCGGGTTTGGGATACAGCGGCACTAGGTGGCGCACTCGCTCCTCCGCAGCGCCGCGGTCCCGGCTCCGATCGCTCCCTGCCCGCTGCCGGTGCCCGCAGAACCGCCCGGCTCGGCTGCATCCAGGGCACGGAGCTGCAGTGTCCGTCCATCCATCCATCCATCCATCCATCCATCCATCCATCCATCCATCCATCCATCCATCCATCCATCCATCCATCATCCATCCATCATCCATCCATCCATCCATCATCCATCCATCATCCATCCATCATCCATCCATCCGTCCGTCCATCCGTCCATCCATCCATCCATCCATCATCCGTCCGTCCATCCATCATCCATCCATCCATCCATCCATCCACCCGTCCGTCCATCCGTCCATCACGCCACAGCCGGGCAGATCCCGTCCCGGGACTGTGGGAGCTGCCAAGTGGCCTCACACCACCGGTGGGGCCAGCTCGCTCCCCAAACCCGGCGAGTGGCCGGGCAGCCCCGGCTGAGGGCAGTGACCAACGAGGGCCGTGTCGCAGCCCTGGCTCTGCCCAGGGGGATCCCCGGGACCCCGTGCCGGGGAGCCGGGCAGGAGCTGCCAGGTCAGCAGCCAGGCCGGGGCGATGCAGGCTGAGAGGGACACGGGCTCAGTCAGAGGGGACACGGGCTCAGAGGGGACACGGGCTCAGAGGGGACACGGGCTCGGGACCGGTGCCCATGGTGCTGCTCTGGCTTTGCCTCCACCAGACTGGACATGCCGAGACTCAGGTTGGCCGCTGGCCTTGGGCACCTGTGCGGGCAAGGGGCCAGGGCTGTCCCCTCGCTGTCCCACGGGCTGTCCCCACATTACGGCTCATGAG